CCGAGGAAAAATTGATCGCCGCCGGCTATGATTGTGTCCCTGTATTGTTTGAAAAACAAGGTCAACAATGGTGAGTAATAATAATAAAAGTGGCGATATTGATATGTTGATTACTGAGATTAATATTTCAATAATAGGAAGTTTTCTAAAGTAATTGACGTGGGTAAGAAAAAGATAGCTACTGAAACGACCGCTTTTAATAGATTTCATGATTGGGATTCAAAAGGAATCCGTGAAGGTAGTAAGGAAACAGAATTGAATACTGTTCATCATAACACTATTACGTACGTATATATATATATATTTTTTTTTTTTAAATAAAATTTTCTATATATTAATGGAGAAACCTATTTTTTTCTACATTTGCTACCCCAAATATAGATCAATCCGACCTTATCAAGGATCACGCCATGATATTTCATTTTTTTCTTCAAGTGCTATAGATGGAAAATTGGCGATCTGGGGTTTATAATAGTGTTTATCTGATTTTAAATCCGATTTATTTTATTGTGAAATTTGATTTAATAAACAGATATATTTAATCAAAGATTATACTTCCGAAATAGTACGTGCTAAATTGCAACCTGCAGTAACAATCTTGCAATAAAAAATATCAATAGTAGTTACAGCAACAGTTTAAATTAATGGATTCCACTTTCATACGATGATTTGTTCTATATAAGTTCGTAAATATTCTTGTTATTCACCGTTTCACTAGGGTTCAATCGACTAATTAATGATTTGTAGATCACTAATTGCGGACTTTCTAATGGAAATTTTGAATAGGATAGATTATTAATATCTGATATGGTATGGCTAAGCGATAAAATTCGTTTCCGAAATCCTGCGTTACACGATTATTTATACAGGCAATGAATTGAATTATACTTTAAAATAAAAATCATAATTGACCTGATAATTGAAGATTTTTCTTTCATAAGTTTTCCCTAGAAAGTTTTTATATCGATATGTGCAAATAGACTCGTGACTAGTGATGCCGTCATAATGTTTTAACGTTAGCATTACCGTGTTTATTAAAATTACTTTTCCTTTACATTTGATATAAAATGCGGAGATTTACACAAAACTGTATTAATAATCAAGTGGATTTGTAATACGAAAAGTGCAGTTTATCAGTGTAACGGTTCTGTCAGTAGCTCGCATTTCTTAACAAAAACCACCTTTTTAACTTTTTTAACAAAACCACCTTTTTACAACCTGGCTCAGAACAATATTACTTACCAAAGTGCGTACAAAATCCAAGAGACATATGATGTCTTAGTTGAAACATTGTGATGATAAGCTGACTTCGGAAGAATTGCTATTGTCAGAACACCTGGTGGAAAATGACTCTATTCAATTACTGACATACAAGAAATCTTTAGAGATAACCAATAGACACAAATCACACAAAAGGCCAAGATCTGTTATATCAGAGTCAGTTCAGAACATCAATGAGATAACCTTGAACAACAAATCACAAATCTTCGATAATACTACCTAGAATACGAAATCATCAGTGATATCAGATCAGGGCTTAACTAGAAATGCAGGGAGTTTAATGCTTTTTTGAAACAAATATATACAGAAGGAATCAAAGAAATAGTAGTTATCTGAAAGTTTAATTTTTTTATTTACTCTGATTTTTATTGAAAGACAGTTTATTTTTCTCTGTCTTTTTATTCTTTTCTATAGCTTCTTCTAATTGTATTCAATGCCTTCTGTCAAGTTGTTTTTCCTTGCGTATGCCTATTCAGCATCATTATATCTTTTTAATAGATTCGTTACAAATGA